TTGTCAATGGTCATAATGATGCCCCCTTGCCCTCTCTCTCTCTCTCTCTCTCTCTCTCTTTTCTTAAAGATAAAGATGATAAAAGCCTCCTGGACTCAGTGACTGAAAGTCTTCAGAAGTCAAAGCACATCATGTAATCAGCAGACCCGGATCCAAATTCATCCAGTCCAGCATGCGGAACAATTCAAACATTTCTGTGTAGTTTGACTTAGATATGCATGGCTCAAAACAGCAACTGCACTATCTTCTATAGTGATTAATGAATCCAAATGCCAAAAGGTGGGGCCTTCACTGTAGAAGGGCCGTTTTAATGTTTCAGTACTTTCTTCCACATAGGCAGCTTCCACATGCTAGTGTGTGTGAATGGTAATATTTCCAATACTGGATGAAAATGTATCTTAAAAATAAAAGGAGCCACAGACAATGAGAGTTCTGCTTTGACTTCAATGGGAGGAGAACTGGGAAATATGCATTAGTTATTGTTACTTTATTGCAGTACTTAGAGGCCCCAGCTAAGCTCATGGCCTTGTTGTGCTAGACACTGTACAACCATACAGTAAGAGATTGTCCCCATCCCTAAGAGCCTACACTCTAATCTAAATAGACAACACAAAGAAAGAATTACTGTACCCATTTTACAGATGGAGAACTGAGACCCAGAGAGACTGTGACTCACCCAAGATCACACAAGCAGTCTGCAGTCAAGTCAGAAACAGCATCCAGTCCTCTGACTGAGGCCCAGTCCAAAGTCTTAACTATAAAAGGAGAGGTTACTTATCTTGTACAGTAACTGGTATTGCTCAAGATATTTCGTCCCTATGAGTGCACCACATAAGGATATATATGTGCCCATGCACTCCTGAGCAGAGATCTTTGTTTTGTTAGCAGTGTCCAGGGGTCTGCACCTGCACCATACACTTCCTTGTGCTCCAGTATGAGGGCGTATAGGGAGGCGTGGGCCCACACAACTCCAGTTTCTTCTCAACCTCAGAGCATGGTAGAACTCCAAAGCAGAGGGGAAAGGAGGGTGGATGGTGGAGCTCCAATAGGGACCAAACATCTTAAAGAACTCCAGTTGCTGTACAAGGTAAGTAACCTCTCCTCCTTCAAGTTATTAGCCCTATGAGAGCTCCAAGTCAGGAGACCCCTCTCCTCTCCCCCTGCCCCTTCCCCCCGAGCAGTACCTCAATGAGGAGGAGGATGCTGAGGAGGCAGATTTAGTACAGAGTGTAAAACAGCTTCACCAAAGGCTGCTCTGGAGATATATATGCAGGCGTAAAGCTGCAAGAACATGTGAACAGAGGACTAGTTGGCTGCCTTACAAATAACCTTGATGGGTACCTTTCTAAGTAGGGGTGTGGAAGTGGCTTGAACCCTAGTTGAATAAGCAGTGACTTTAGGACGGGGGGTGCATTCCTAAGGACTCATAGCATGCAAGAATGTACCTGAAACCCATTTAGATAGCATCTAGATGGAAATAAAGTGACCCCTTGTCCTCTTGGCAGAGAAATTGAAGAGCCTGGTGGAATTCCTGAAGGGTTTAGTTAGTCCTGTGTAGGTAGAAAGTCAGAGCTCTTCTTACATCCAGAGTATGGAGGCTGGTCTCTTCCCTCAAAGAGTGAAGTCTGGGGTAAAAGCCCAGTAGTTGGATGTCCTGATTGATATTGAATGCTGATGAAACTTTAGCGACAAAGTGAAGGTGGGGACGCAGGATAAGGCTTTGAAATCATCTGCGTAGAATGGCAGAGTATGGTTGCCGCATGTGGGAATGAAGGGGATGGTAGTGTTGCCTCCTCTAGTCTCAGCTCCTGTTCTTCTGGTGGAAGGATGAGGGGGGCCCTGAGGTGTTGGTGGCCGAGAATCTTAGTGGGTGCTCTTGTGTGAGGGCAATCTGTAGACTTAGTCCCCAAAAATCCCATTGGGGAGGGGCATAAGGAAAAGGAGTAGGGCCCCCAGGGTATTCTTGCCATGGCTGATGGTCACCCATTGGCTGGTTCCTGGGGTCTTGTCCTCAGGAAACACCTTGAAGGATATAGGGTGGAATGGGTAGGTGATGGAGCCTTGAATGGATACTTCTGAATAAGTGTTACCTGAATACCATGTTCAGTAAGGTAGCAGACCTGAGAGACTTCTGTCTCGAGCCGCAGGCAGTTGAGAAGGAACTGGAGTCCTGTAGGTCTTCTCCTTCCTATATGCCCTCAGACCAGAGTACAAGGAGGCATATGGTGCAGGCATGGCCCAATGGATGGTGCTAACAGCAACAAAATATCTCCAATCCAGAGTGCACGGGCACATATGCCGCCTCATGAGGAGCAACCATAGGGACAACAACTCAGAGAAGACCCGTCCTTCCTCTCTGTAATACAATATAATGTGGTTTGTTTATTCCTAGCTAGCCTTTTTGTTAGGTAATACTAAATAAACAATATGTATTGAGGCACAACAAAAAGGTTTAAAGATGAACACAGCCGGGAAGCTGATACAAAATAGAACATGGTGGAAAGGCTTCCTTTGGCCCCATCATCACGGTTGAGCTGACAAATGGGAATCAAAGAAAGATTATTATGTAAAGGACTGCTCCTGCAAATAGTATAACCCATGTATAACTCTATTTATGGGAAGAGCCCCACAGATTTCAATGAAACTACTCCTGGGTATGCTTCAGTGTTTGTGTGATCAAGCCCTAAGAACTAATTAAAAAAAAACAGGATGGCTTCAGTCATTGGCATTTTAATCTCAAAATATGTTGCTACCTGCCGCCACTGCTGCTGCTGGTATGGCTAAAGCCAGATTAAGAATTATAATACCTATGACCTGATTGAATTGATTTTGTGCCTATTTTTCCAGTGTAGTATTAATCTTTCCAGGAAACTGTTGTGAGATAAACACGATGCTGACCGGTCATGTGCTCCAACTTTCTCTGCAGGCTGAGAGTATTTTACATTCCATGTGCCACCTGGAGTGTGCTGGTGAGTGGGAAGGGAGCACAGCTAAAAGGGGACATACCAACCCAGCGGGGCTGGAAATATTTAAAACAGTTTGCAAATGAAAAGGCATGGTACCTTCTGATGATGCTAAGATTATGTCTACACTACAGCTGGGATTGACGCTCTGAGATCGATCCACCGGTGGTCGATTTAGCAGGTCTAGTGAAGACCCGCCAAATCGACACCAGATCACTCTCCAGTCGACCCCTGTACTCTACCCCCAACGAAGAGAGTAAGGTAAGTCAACAGGAGAGTTTCTCCCATCGACACCCCCCACCCCTCCCCCACGGTAACTCGACCTAAGGTACGTTGACTCTAGCTACAGTTATTCAGGTAGCTGGAGTTACGTAGCGTAGGTTGACTTCCCACAGTACCGTAGACCTAGCCTAAATTATGTGACAGCTACTTTGGAAACAATGCAGCAAAGTTCCTGTGTAACAGTGGTTCATTCCCAAACGATGGGTCACTTTATTTGAGGGAGGGAGGATGTTGGAAGGGTGCTCACAGGATTTCTTTTGCTTAAAAGAGGTTTGAAGAAGAGAAGAAATCTCAGTGTTAATTTTTTTTTTTGCTTTTTCCCAAACTGACGGGGAATTTTCACCTAGGTGAATGTGGAAGTCATTAGGCCTTGATCCTGCAAAGAGTTATGTGTGTGCTTAACTTTTTAAGCATCTGAGTAGTCCCCTGGAATTAAATAGGCCTTGCGTGTTTTAAGTTTACAAACATAAATCATTGCAATACTGGGGCTGTATTGTACCCCAAAAAAAAAATGGTTCCTCCAAATGTGGCATTCCCAGCGGTGATAGAAAGAATGGTTAATGAGGCCAAACTAGCTCGTTCACCGCATCAGATATGGCCAAAAAATACTGGGCCAAATCCTCAACTGGAGTAGAATGGCCTAGCTCCACTGCATGGAACTACAACAATGTACAGTAGCTGAAGATCTGGTCCATTGACTGGAGTTCTACTTGGGTAAAATTGAAGTAGAACCGTGTTGACTCGGGACCTGTATTTCAAGATGAAACTGTCATGGAAAGAGACAACAAGCAAAAAGTAGTTTCAGCTAGGCAGTAAAAACATCAAGTAAATTAATATTTTAATTATTGGTACACATACAAGAAATTAGAAGAAAAACTACATTCCAAATACAGAGTAATAGTAAAATTAACATAAAAATGCATCATAGATAGTATCAAAGTGGCCATACTGCATGTGGTGACTTTTAAATTGATGGCAAAATAGATTAGTTAAGTGCTCATCACTTTAAAACATGGCTAAGTGCTGAGCCTGTGAATGGAGAAGGGGAGCTGCTTGATTTGTATATTAAATCTTTAAAAATATGCTTTGCCTTTAATTCACCAGAACACAGGCGGTTCAGTTCATATAGGAGTCATTGAGATTAACAGGTCAGGACTTGTAGCCCGATCCTGAAGTCCTTACCCAGACAAAACTACCACTTATCCCAATGGGATTTTTTCACTGAGGGAAAGATTCTGCCAACCTTCCCCACAACGAATAGCAGCGGACTCCATGAACAGTCCTATCTGGGAAACAAAATGGGCCTATTCTTGCATAGGCCCTGAGTAAGGACTGCAGGTTTGGGCCCTGGATTTCTAAATTGTCCTGATTCAACAAAGAAACCAGTGTGGGAGGTCTGTTTTTTGTTTTTGTTGTTTAATTAGGTTGCCAAGATAATAGTTTCCTTACTGGTGCTAAGTTTCCTGATGTTCTGTCTATTTTAGTGCCAGTAGGACTATAACAAAGGCCCATATCTTGCTCCCACTGATGTATCATAGGAGCAGAAGCAGACCCTAGACCCCCTCTTTCACAGAGCTAGTTACAAGGGTTCTGAAGTAGCAAATTATCACTGGCCACAGCACATCCACTTTTTCTTTTAATCTTTTTCTTTTAATGAGTGTATTTCATCCACTTTTTCTTTTAATGAGTTTATATCTACAGCAATTTGGTGTCACCACAGATACAATACAAGCCACTTAAATTTTGGCATTTCAGCCAACTGGCCACTTTTTTTTTTTTTTTTTAGTCTATCTATAGGTATACCGACATAATTTTTATATTTTTACTTTAAAGGAAAAAAATACATCGTCAACGGAACTTCCTCCAAACTAAGAAAAAGAATATCTATCAAACATTTAAAGAAACAATAAAAATTTGCATTGTATTTGCCTTTGAGTTCATAATAATGTAAGTTTTACTGCTTGAGAATTATGGTCCATTTCACAGGTATACACCCATTTTTAGAATGTAAGCGCTTCAGCCTTCATTTGTATTTGTACAGCACCTAGCACAGTGTGGGTGCTACTGGAAAAAATAATTTACAGTTTGGGGCCTGATTTGAAATCAACAGAGTTATGCCAATTTATACCATTTGAGAGCCATACTTTGGAGCCATAATTCTGTTCATAAGTTTGTTCTGAGTCCAGTGGCTGTTCATACAAACACATTCTCATCCGGAAAATCGTACACATCCTACATACAGTGGGACAGGAATTAATTCCAAAATGGGCATTCCCTCTCCATTGGCTTTAAAGCCAATAAAGTTTATGATCAAAGGAAATTAAATATCCCGTTTGTAACTCGTTCCTTAAACTCTAGTTGACTTTCTGCCTGAGAAAAGATGAACAGAACCACAGCATGTTCAACTTCAACATTTTCAGCAATAATCCAGCTAGAATTAGGATACTTTGTTTTGGCTGGATCAGGCTTATTCTAGCTCATTCAGAGATGAGCCTGCGTTGCAAAATTGGGATGTGATGCTCACATCTTGGGGTTTTGCTTCTGACTTTTAGAAACTTTTTGCAACTTTGGGATCTGAGTTCAGACTTGTTAAAAACCCCTTCCCTTGAAGTTTGGGTGTGTCTGGGTCCAGAGTTTTGGCTTGGCTTCCTCCCTAATAGATCATGCAAATGACTGTTTTCCATTTGCTTTCCATCTGATGCAGAAATCTAACTGAAACATTTATTCACGTCACCTTTTTTCAAGTGAATTTCTGCAGGTTCTTTGAAGCATTTTTATTTTGAATACTATAGTATAATAATACTTAGCACTTATCTAGTGCTTTACACCTTTCAAGGTGCTTTACAAACATGCACTAATCCTCACACCAGCCCTGTGAAGTAGGTAGGCATTTTACAGATGGGGGGGGAACAGAAACAGAGAGTTAGATTCTCAACTGCTGTAAACTGGCATACCTCTATTGACTTTAATCAGAATTACATCCTTTCAGACCAGCTGACTTAACCAAGGCCACAAAAGGAATCGGTGTCAAAGCCAGGCTCAGAACTTAGGAGTTGTAGATATCCAGTCCTGGGCTCAGACCACTCAACTCTGCTGCCTCTCCAGATAAAAGAGCAGCTCTCTCTGCCAAAACTAGGCAATTTGCCACTCCCATGCACCCAAAATAGAGAAGGAGACATCTGCCACAGAGCTTTATATCTGCTCTGTTTTGACCACTTTCCCCTCCAAGGCCAATAAAGAGCTATGCTGGAAAGAAGGGCAGGGAGTGAAAGCCTTCAAGTCCTTCTTCTAAACCATGTATTAAATACTAAGGACTCGTTTAACCCAATTCTGATCTCATGCTGGTGTAAATCAAGAGTGGCTCTGCTGAAGTCTCCTCTATATGCCAATTTTACATCCGTAGCTCCACAGACTTCAGTGGTATTGGTAAGGCCCTGCCCAGCCCAGTGGAGTTACAGGAGTGTAACAATGGTGTGAGGTGAAAATCAGACCACTTGGCTTCAAGAGGAGCTTTTTGTGAGTAAAGGAGTTGGGTTCCATATAGGGTAAAAGCTAGGCAGATCAAGCAGACTCCGCACACTCTTAGTCTCCCTGAATAAGGAGTTACTGGCACTTAATGGTTAGTCCAGTAGTGGAAGATGTGGTTTGTAGTGTATATATAACCTCAATTAATCACCCACAAGAATTTCAGAGCGGATTTTGAGTACAGTGTAGTCAATTATTTTTGTCAAGGTCCAAGTTTCTTGGTCAAGGGCCAGATGCCAGAGATATTTAAAGAAATAAGAGGTTTCAGAGTAGCAGCCGTGTTAGTCTGTATTCGCAAAAGGAAAAGGAGGACTTGTGGCACCTTAGAGACTAACTAATTTATCTGAGCACTGTGTATATAAAATCTCTCCACTATATTTTCCACTGTATGCATCCAATGAAGTGAGCTGTAGCTCACGAAAGCTTATGCTCTAATAAATTTGTTAGTCTCTAAGGTGCCACAAGTCCTCCTTTTCTTTTTAAAAAAATAAGTAAATAAAAAGATTTTGGGGACTGTTCAAAAGCATCTGGCAGTCTGGATTTCACCAGTGGTCCGCTTATTGACTACCCCGGGTATACAGTGTGTAACTACTGGGTGCCTCTTGTACTTAGGAGTTATTACTGCTGGGATTAGGAATACAATGTACCGTACACTGCTTCTACTCCCTTCCTGCAACGTTATCGCGCCTAAGAATGGATGATGCTCCTTAAAGATTTTGCTTCTAAAGGGAAAGGCTGTGTATGTGTTTGGAGTGGGGGGAAGGGAAGTAGAACAATACCTTCAAATTTAAAAGGCAAAGAGAGACAATGGGAGAGTTAAGGAAGGAAGCGGAAAAGAGTCAAGATGGATATTTATGTGCTCTCCATTCCTACTTTGCCACTGCCTTTCAAATCCCAGATTGCTTTCACCAGTGTTGAACTGTTTTTTGTCCCAGGAAACAGTATCTAAAACAGACGCCCACCTGCACCCCTCCCCCACATCAGCAACTGGTCAATGTTTCCCAGGCTTAATCAGAAGAATGGGAGCTGGCTGTGTCAAATCTGTGCCCATAGCAGCTGGCCTCTTCCCAGCAAGAAAGGCTCTCTCAGGAAAAAGGGTTTTGTTCAAGTCATGTGGATTAAAGGGATGTGGAGAGGGAGACGGGCGAGAGACCAGGGTGACTCTCTCTAACAGCCTGAGTCTGTGATGCCCCAGGCAACCCTCGACTCTCTCAGAGTTCTCCGGTGCAGGCCCACAACAGAAGCAGTGCATTTTACAGGGCCCATGCTCAGATTATGCTAGCTCCCTCCTCTCAAAATGACAGATCACCTAGGAACGCCTGTTGAACCCTCTGCAATCATCATCAGGATCAAGGCCTGAGATTGGCAGATCGTAAAATAAACTGAGATAAAAAAAATTACAGAAAAATAATTAAAACTGCTTCCGGAAACTGAAGAATAATACTCTCTGGAGGTGAAGAAAGTGATACCCTACTAACTCAGAGCAGGGGAGATTATAACATTCAATGAAGGTATCCATTCGCTCCTTTACTGAGCATGTCCGTCTTTCTTACAGGGGAGGGAATCCTTGGAGAACATAAGTGAAGAACAGATATGCCAAAGTGACATAGTCCAAGAGAGAGTTAAGTCTTAAATTAGCCATTCACTCAAATCCTGCTAGCACTGGCCCCAGCAGACAGTTAGAGCACTGTACATGCATATTTTCTCTAGCTGGCTCTATGACAGGAAGAGGGTTGCAAACAAGCGGCCTGTGTAACAGCAGGTGACATCCACAAAGAGCAGCGATGCAGGGGCCAAGCTGGGGATCACAAGACAAGCAAAACTGATGAATGGAGATGCTGCATGCCTCCTACAGCTGGTCGCTCTAGCAGAAGCAATCCCTTGAGTGAATGAATACGGGAAATATTGTGCAACAGCATTAGAGGAAGGAGATTACAGGGGCCTGTGCTATTTACAATGCGTTCCCCCTCAGTAATGCAGCTAACCTTTCTGGTGTATGTTTATAAAGCAGCAGACGCTTCTGGGGGGCACTATTGTTAACCCAGCCTTTTGCAATGGTACTTAAATTTTCTAAAATATGAAGAGTCCTTGGAAGGAAGGCCCAGATCCTCACTGAACTCAATGGAAGTTAAGAGTCTGAATAGTACTACTGGGGATCTAGGCCAAAATGTCTGTTCAACATACTGAATCCCACTATGTAGGGCTACTGGTGGGTGTGAAAACTACTCAGTAAAGAAAGTGTGGGGTGTTCTCAGTGCCAGCGGCCTATCTCACACTGCTGCTAATACTGCCCACTGGTCCTGTCAGCCGTGCTCAGGTAGAATAGTGCCGTACTCTGCCAGTCGTCCCATGGATTAAGTGCTACTCTGTGAGCTGAACTGTAACACAGGAGAGAGCCAGGAGAGAGCGCTCTTCGCATCAGCCAAGGAGAAGGAAGGTTTGTGGGAGCATCACCAAGCCAAGGAGAGGAGCAGAAGCTGTCCTCTGTTGCTAACACTCACACAGGGGGACATGATCAGCGTTCCCTTATATCAGGAGTGGCCAACCTGTGGCTCTTCAGAAGTTAATACGCGGCTCCTTGTACAGGCACCGACTCCGGGGCTGGAGCTACAGGCGCCAACTTTCCAATGTGCCGGGGGGTGCTCACTGCTCAACCCCTGGCTCTGCCACAGGCCCTTCCCCCACTCCACCCCTTCCCGCCCCCTCCCCTAAGCTGGCCGTCGCGTAGCTCCTCTTCCCTCCCCTCCAGAGCCTCCTGCATGCCACAAAACAGCTGATCGGGAGGTGCGGGGAGGGAGGGAGAGGTGCTGATCGGTGAGGCTGCTGGTGGGTGGGAGGTGCTGGGAACGGGCGGGTGGGGAGCTGCTGACCTATTACTTTGGCTCTTTGGCAATGTACATTGGTAAATTCTGGCTCCTTCTCAGGCTCAGGTTGGCCACCCCTGCCTTATATCATGGCAGCCCTCAGGCCACTTCACTTTACACTAGAGCCTGACCATGTGGCCAGAGGGCTACAGATTTGGCAAGGTGCAAAAGTCTCTTCAAGAGATCTTTGTCCCCTCTCCAGCCTATGCCAAGCACTCCTTGGGTGAACCAAAGAATGGAGGCCCACATATTTTATAGGAGGTTAAATCAAAGTGGAATTATATTTTCCTAAACTGCAGCATTCTCAGGTAAGAGTCCAAAACAATGCCACCCCATCAGCGTTATTGGCTCGGAAGAGTTTGTATGTAATATAAAATCAGGGGGCTGGTTGAGAGACTCTGGGGTGCTCACCCATGTAGCTCTCTAATTAAACCAACACTGCAGCCTGGTTTGTTCTAGCAGTGCCTGTCTCTCTCCCAGCATCTCCCTTTGAGACAGACACACAAGAGAAGAGGGTGTCCGGTGGAGGACCTGCACTTAGGAGATGGTCACCCATCTGGTATTTCCCTGGCACAAGTGGTGTGTTCACCCTTGCAACCAGTCACAGATAAAGACCATTTTCTTTCAATTCATGGACTTAATGCACAGACCATTCAGTGACTAATAGTGTCTTACTATGTAGATAGCAGGGTTTAGCCCAAAGGGCTTTGCAAACTGTGGGCCAAATCTGCAGCTGGTGTAAATTGGCAAAGCTCCACAGAAATCAATGGCCCACTTACACCAGTTGTGGATACCATTACTAACTCTACATTTGGGACTAATTTGGATCTGACCGTGTCTCTTTGTGTCATATTTGGTCCTGAAAAACCTGCCATTTACTTTCAATATCTTAATAACAGGGAAAACAGTGCTGGGAGACCCCACAAAGAGCAAAGGCTAGAGGAGCATGTGAACTAAAGGGACTATTGCTGGATTCCAAGGGGCATAGTGAGCAGGGCTGCAGCAGAAACTGAGGCTTGCTCTGCACTGCAGACTTATGTCGGCAGAACTACGTCACGCAGAGGTGTGGAAAATCCACACCCTTGAGCAACGCAGTTAAACCAGCTGAACTGCAGCCGTAGACAGAACAACACCGATGAGAGAAGCTCTCCTGTCAGTATAGGTAGTGTCTTCACTAAGTGCTACAACCGCGCACTGCATCAGTGCTGCTGCAGCTGTATGTGTAGACAAGTCCTCAGTCAGGGCATGGCAACTGACCTACGAGAAACCTGCAGGCTCAGGCTCAGAAATGCCAGGTGCAAAAACAAAGCTCTCACTGCATAGGGCCTATGATGAGAGGTACTCCCCACAGGAAGGGCTGCATTAGGCCTAGTCAAGCCTCATCAACCAATTAGGATGCAAACAGGGGAGATTTAGACTGGAGGAAGCTAATTAGAAGGAAGATCACCTGTGAGGGCATAGGCAAGCATTCTACAAAGCCAGGAGACGGAGCTAGTGTAAGAAGGTAGTAGGGAGGAAGTCTATTGTCTCACTTCCTGAGGTCAGGGAGAAGACTCACAGTAGGAAGGAGACTGCGGTGAGAGCAGTAAGTTTGGAAAGAGCCAGGCCTTAACTGTTCAGTACAGGGGCCTGGCCTGGAACCCCAAATAGAGGGCAGGCTTGGGTTCCCCTACCAACCACTGCAGAGCGGTAGGGCTAAGGGCAGCAAACGTGAAGACTGCTGGAGTGATGTTATCAGTCCAGTGGGTGTGAGGACTGCCTATGGAAGGGGAAACCACTTAATGACCTGGCTGGACAGCTGAATCACAAAGAGGAAGCAGCAGCTCCTGGAGTGAAAGAGGGGCTGCAGACAGAGAGGTGGATTGCAACTATGGGAAAGGGTGTTGGTCTGGTAGAGCTAATCCTCAGAACCACCAGGAGTAGGGGTGATCCTGTGGTGAGCAGAGCACTCTGTGACAGGGCCCACTTGTGAACTCCTCACTCACATGTAGGAACAGTTATTCACCGGTATGGTCTCATTAGAATCAATAGGACTACTCATGTGAGTACCATGGGAGGAAGGGCCACAAAACAAACATTCAAGGGACACCATCCGATTTGGGAAGGGGAGAGGAAAGCCCCCTTGATGCACTATCACTGTATATCCATAGGAAATGTCTCTGCATCCACTTGTCATGCATCAAAGACCAATCAGGGGCAGCAGCAGCTCAGCACTTGTGAGCAACCCACAATAAATTAAACAGCATGCAGGAGGGAAGGAACTATTGAAAAGTAAAATTATAATTGTGAAATTTAAAAATACCTCCCCAGAATCCTTTAACAGAGTCTAATGGAAGAGATACTCTTGCTATGGCAGGGGGAGGATAAGATTGCCAAATAGTTTGGGTTGGTTGGAAATAGGTTTTTCCCATCTCTAATGGTTCTAATTTTTCTTATAGGCTCCACGATGTTAGGAGAAATGTGGGTGAGTTGGTTTGAATGCACAGAATCGTTCTTTTCAGGTGGTTTAGCCTCAAAGTGGGCTTTGCCAAGTCAAGTGGCACAAACTTGGTTCTTTGCCATTGACTGGCAAAAAACAGACACTTGTTCTACGTAGCTGGCTTTGTAGGTAAGGGAAAATGCTCACAGACAAATAAAATACCCCGAGTAAGGAGTGTATTAAATATGTGCAAATATGCAGAGTATTCTCACTTATTAGCAGCTGTAAATACTGAGCAATAAATGCTTAAATGTCAAATTCCAGTCTCCCAATTCCCACATTATGGATAGAATGTGAGCCCAGGAAAAAATAAATCATGATTTCTTAGTGGAATGTATCTCCAAAAGTGTGATGCAAAGCACAGAATACCCCAACTCAGGTTGTGTATGGTGGCTCCTAATACCATACTACTGTGCACATATGTATAGGGTCAAGTGTGTAGACATGCAAATACAGAGAAGCCTACTAGCCTTAATTGAATAAATAGGTTTCCCTGAAAATCTGCCAAGCTCACAGTTAAAACAATTGCCTGTTAACACTAATGATGCATCTATAAACTTGGGTCTGCAGTAATTTCACAGTGATCGAAGTATGCTATATCCCAGTGTGCATTTCTTTATATGCTTTGTGTTTTAATACTTTGCCTTTGTTTTGGAGTTTTTTGGGGTTGGCACAAACATTGTCACTGATTCAAGAGCTCTCAACACCTACAGAGGAGGTGCAGGAGGTTTACCAGGCTTATTAATTCAGTCAACAAAGCTACTGATAACTGGGGGTGAGGTCTGATGCTGAAAGACAGACCCATTGTTCCATCATATATCTTAGCACATGGCCACAGGACTACCCTAGGTAAGCAAATGCTGAAAGTTGCCTGCTAAAACTGCTCATTAACTTTCATGCACGTATCCTTTCATTGTAACCCAGCCTGCTTCAAATGCCTTTCACTTCCCATTTTCTCAAAGTTCAGAATGTTATTGCATTCTGTTGTTGCTTCTGCAAGTATATAGCATACTAAATGCTCAGCAGCATTCACGTTGGGCACAAACTTTGAATGGCATTTAAATAGGAAGTTGCATGAGTTTGGAATTCACAAAAGAGCCCCGGTTAGAATCCAGTACAGTGCAAGTTTCCCACCACCCAATTCTTACCAATGTACTTCAGCCCTGACCTGCACTACCTATCCTCTTGCTATGCTACTCCTAGGCTCTCTTTGAGCAGAGGCTGTCAGTTGCTGCACCCTGTGTAGTGGCTTTGTAATGGCCACAACTTGGGTCTAGTCTAGTCACCACCTAAGCTCATTGTCACATCCCTATCACCTTAGCTGGGATTGGGACATGTGTGCCCAGGCTGGAAGGCAAGCCTCTTAACTTGCCTAGCCTCTTTTCACGGTCTCTTTAAATTAGCCTTCTCCTTCCATAACATTCAGAACCAGCTTCAGGATTAACAAATACAATGTTTTAGAGAGGACTCCTGAAGCTTCCAAGAGGAAAAGGTCAATGAGTAGCTACTGTAGGAGCAGTCTAAATTTTCCAGTGTGGTCTCCACACTGAAGTAAATTACATTCAAGGAGAGTCAGATTTAAAAAAACCCAAAGATAATGCTTTAAAGAAGCAAAATCTCTATCACCAATGCACCTTGAGAGATGGAGATCTCCTTCAGCGACTAATGCTACTACAGCACCCCAGTTATAATCCATGCAGTTCACGAGCCTGCTGGCGTTCCATCTAATTCCTCTTTTTGAAGTCCTCTTCATCCCTGCTCTCCACAGCTGAGAGTGCAATGAGCATCTGGGCTGCATAGTAAGTGGCCATGATGATGGCACGTGAGTAGGGCACCGGGAAGCAGAACTTGTTAACTGCAATGGTCAGATCTGACACCATGAAAAGCACTGCTCCGATGCAGGCTGAAAGCTTGGTCCAAGTCCAGAGGTCATTGCACAGCTGCACCCCAGCAATGGCGCGCCACCCCATGAAGCCGATCAAAGCGATGTAGACAGCAACCAGGTAGGTGAATGGGCCTGAGAGGTAGTAATACAGGAAGGTGTAGCAGAAGCTGGAGACAAGGGTCATCACAAAGCCAGCTTTCAGGTCCAAAGGCTTCATCCCAAATGCTGAGGAGTACAGGATGTGTGTGATGGCAAACATCAGCAGACCTGGAAAGAAGCATTGACACAGCAAGTGTGAGCTTTAATGGGCATAACTAATTTATGACTACATCAGATTAAACAGTCACAGGGAAGGTGCTGTCTTAATTCTGCTCCCAGTGGTAAAACTCCCACGTGAATTTAGTGGGAGCAGAGGTAGGCCAACATTCAGCCCTTCTGAAAATCCCATCCCTAGAGGGGGAAAAAAAAAAACTTAATACAGTGACATCTGTAGAGGAGGCTACCCTGGTCAGGCTGGTTCCTGCCCTAGGAAAATGTCCTGATGTACCCACAGTCACACTGAGGATAATTCTGCTCTGCCTTTTAGACAACCACCTCTGCTAACTCTACAGATAAATCAGGAAGAAACAAAACTCAAGTCTTTCAGACCTAACCTCTTTTTTGAATTTCAGAGCGGAGGAAGGCAGGTTTGAGATCCCAGATCTGTAAACACCTGTAGAGTTTTTTCTGGGTGGTGCCAAAACTGGAAGGAACCTTTTCCCAGATCAATGGAATCCAAATATTGTGAGAGCAATTATCAAAGATTTCAACACCTCCAAATTCAGACCCAAACTCTCTGGCCTTAGCCACAGACCCAAACTCCAACCTGGGACTCAGCTGGACCTAGGTCTAAACATCATCTCCACCCACTGATAGCAGAATCATAAACTGGAAGGAAGCAGCTGGCCAGGATTACACCAGTTTAACCTACCAATTTTTTTTATGGCTACTTGCAAGACCCAAACGAATCAAAAGTGGAACTGATCTGAGAAAACCAAACAAGCTTCCCTTTGAAGTAAAACACCCTTGAGAAATCCCAGATGTTGGTGTAGGAAGGAATTGCCCATATGTTAATCACTCTGCACTAGTCCATCTGACAAGAAATGTCACCATGTGTTGCAGCAGGTGCTGATTGCTAGTTGGTCTTGCCAATCACACATGATGGACTCCAAAATAATTTCAGCTCCCTTCTCCCACCCTCAGCCCACAGACCTACATACACTGAAAGTCTGTTCCATTCTGTTCATGCAGATTTGTTAACTTGGCTGGAAGTTTTCATGCCTAAATAAAACCATGGAAATCTGAGCGCCCCAGCAGGCCAGTGGCTTAAAATTATATCGTGATGCCCTGGTACAAGGGGAACAGGAGCTCCTTAGCAACTAAAATCCACCAGTGACAAGTTTGTACTCTGTCTGTCATGCTCACAAGCCAACACACTGTGCTAAAACAACTCAACCAGGTGGCACTGCCCCCTCTGTACTGGGGAGTGTCTTGTGCTATGGCCAGCTGATCTACAGCTCAGATTGCTGGTGCATCCACAGAATGGAACTGGTAGACAGAGCGGAGAGGCAGAGCCCACATGTTGGGCACAAGGCTAGATAGATGGGAAAGGGCACTAGAGGAGAGGGATGAAATGGGGTCGGGGGAGAAGAATAGAGCAAATGAGGGCCTCAAGACTAATTCAGGGAACAGGAGGGGAGACTTAATGAGCTAAACATGAGGAGTAGAGAATTTTACCAATTTAACTTTTTTTTTTAGTGTGCATGTGCTAATATAGAAATACAGTTAGTTTCCATTCCTAACATTTTATATGAGCTAAAGTTCAACTCTTGTAAGTACTCTACAGTCCTCCTGTGGTGAAAGTGAATGGGTTGTAAAAGGTGGTGAAGAGCTCTTACATTTCAGCAACTGTGGGGTTGGCAGCGTAAACGTATGTGTTAACAGGGCATATTAGGGCATTCCTAAAAGAGGGTAGAGTCAAGGTAGCATGGGCACCATTAACGCTGCATTTTCTGGTTTTCTGATTGAGCTTTGCTCAATGCAGCCAGGCAAGCTTACTACTTCTGTGTTAACATAGTTTTTTGCCATTGAAAGGAAAGGGTTGTGAAATGGTTGACAACCACTAGCCCAGACTGCTTTGAAAACCTCAGTTCAAACATTTGAGGAGGCAAGACAAAATTGTCAGCAGCTCCTGAAGAAAATGGGCTGATGGGTATTCATAAGAACAGCCACACTGGGTCAGACCAATGGTCCATCTAGCCCAGTACCCTGTCTTCTGGCAGTAACCAGTGCCAGATGCTATAGAGGAGTGAACAGAACAGGGCAATGAATCGAGTGATCCACCCCATCATCCCCACTCCCAGCTTCTGGCAGTCAGAGGTTTAGGGACACCCAGTGTATGGGGTTGTGTCCCTGACCATCTTGGCTAATAGCCATTGATGGACCTATCCTCCAGAATTTTTTTTTAACCCACTTACATCTTTGGCCTTCACAACGTTCCCAGCAATGAGTTCCACAGGTTGACTGTGCGTTGTGTGAAGAATTACTTCCTTATGTTTTAAACCTGCTGCCTGTTGATTTCATTGGGTGACCCCTGGTTCTTACATTATTTGAAGGGGTAAATAACACTTACTTTCTCCACACCATTCATTATTTTATAGACTCTTATATCTTACTCCCTTAGTTGTCTCTTCTAGGTTAAACACTCCCAGTCTCTTTTAATCTCTCTTCATATGGAAGCTGTTTCATATTCCTAATAATTTTCATTGCCCTTCTCTTTACTTTTCCCTCCCCCAATTCTAATATATCCTTTTAGAGATGGTATTCAAGGTGTGAGTGTACAATGACTTTATAGAATGACCTTTTCTGTTTTATCTCTCCCTTTCCTAATGGTTCCTAACATTCTGTTTGTTTTGACTGCCGCTGCACATTGAGCAGATGTTTTCAGAGAACGATCCACAATGACTCCAAGATCTCATTCTTGAGTGGAAACAGCTAATTGAGACTCATTTTGTATGTATAGTTGGGATTATGGTTTCCAATGTGCATTACTTTGCATTTATCGACACTGAATTTCATCTGCTATTTCGTTGCCCAGTCACTCTGTTTTGTGAGATCCTTTTGACACTTCACAGTCTGCTTTGGACTTATCTTAAGTAATTTAGTATCCTCTGCAAACTTTGCCACCTCACTGTTTACCTTTTTTTTTATTCTCCCTCCCCATCTTCCGCCCCCCCCCCCCCCAATTTATAAATATGTTGAACAGCAGTGGTCTGGCATAGATCCTTGGGAGACCCTGCTATTTACCCCCTCCACTGTGAAAATTCACCATTTATTCCTGCCCTTTGTTTCCTGTCTTTTTAACCAGTTACTGAACTATGAGATGACCTTCCCTTTTATGACAAGAATGCTTAGTTTGCTTAAGAGCCTTTGGTGAGAGGGACCTGGTCAAAGCTTGCTGAAAGTCCTCCATTTTCAAGATAGGTTGAGACGCAAGTCAGCACACTTCTAATTAGGGCTAGGCCTAGTGGTTTCTATCACCCACCTCTAGCCCCAGGGGCACTGAAGGATCATGGGCCTCAAACCCCAGCCACCACCCAGAAGCTCATCTGAATGACTGATGGGAGAAGGAGGCTAGTGAAGCTCTAGCTTGCATAGGGCCCTACCCACAAAGCTCCTGATTGGGGGGGAGATGTCAAGCTGTCTAGCCCCACTAGTTGGCTTAGATGCACTACTTAAACCAGAAAGAAGAATAGGAAGTTGTCTGAGTGACTAGAGGAATCCTTGGTTGGCTGCTACTACACACCCTACCTATGTGCCTGACTCTTGTTTCCTGCCTTGCAGCCTGTTTCTCCTTATCCCAGACCACCATCTGTTCCTGCATTGCTCAAGGTCTTTGCTCCTACACCCTACCCCAGACTCAACTCCAGCGTCTCCTCCTGACTTGGTCTCTGGCAGCGACCTTTTCCCTTGGCACTTGACTCAAACCTCAGCTCTGGTTCCAAGTGCATATGACTAACCACTGCCCCCACCCTGCTCCCTAATCACATGCTTCCCTATTAGAACACTGAGGAGCCACTTTCCCCTTCACTTGTTCTCTGCTTTACACTGGGGCCTTGGGAGTGCACATCACAGCAGCTATCCTTGTATAAGAGATGATTGCACAGAGCCCAGCTAGCTGCTGAGTGGTGTGAGGTCATTCTGCCACATTCCCAAGTCCTGCCAGTCCAGGGAATGAGGACAGATGCTGAGATGCTGGGCCAGCACCATGACAGGGCTACCAACCAACCCCAGGCTTTTGGAATGTGATTACAGTGAAGGACATGGGTCATGTCCATCCATGATGCACCCCCTCTAATTTCAGTGCAAGAGATTTATGCATGGGATGAGTCCTTCCTACTGCCATGACAATGGGTTATTCATATAAATAAAAATGAAAGTATAAATATATAAACCCTCTGCATAAGAGCATTTATTCAGTGATAAATTTAACTGGTTGCTATTATATCCCTTCAGACCTGGCGCCATCACTTACCATGAACGAAGTAGCCTTGCTCCTGCCAGATGAGGAAGGCATCCCCCACTGCGGAGAATATTAACCCTGCTAGGATCCTATTGGCGCTTCGATGTGCGACTAGGAAATTGATTCCATGTGCCAGCAGAAAAACCCATAAGCAGAAGATGGGCAGACACTTGATGAGGGCACTGAACCAGGAAGGGCTGGAAGTTGGCAGCCAGAGGACGAAATAGACACAAGTGGCTTTAAAAAATGGCACCAGCTTGGGGCCTTCACTCTTCACCTAAAAGAAACAAGTCATTTAAAAAAAAAATCAATAGGATCATTAGAGGCTACACTATAATAAACTCCTTTGTAGAATGCATCCCTTGGCTTTGAAAGGCTGCTTCCTTTCTAGTTCAGAGCATCCCTGCGACTGGCAACATCTACCCATCAGGCAAAAGCCACTTGAACTTTAACACATTCTTCACTCCCATTAGCTGTTCAGCCAAGGAGCTGTCCTGAGCCTCTGTCCCAAAAATAAGGGTTTGGGGTTTGTTTGGTTTTGAGTGGAAGTGGGGGAAGAAAGTGTAAAATGCTCTACTACTGCCTTTGAAATACACTGAGGGCCTGATCCAAAGCTTGCTAAAGTCAGTGTAAATCTTTTCATTCACTTCAATTGGCTTGGGATCAGACCCTCTTTAGCAGCCCCTTGCCAAATCTTGTGGCCTAGGAGATGCAGCATCAGTTATAGCCTGGTATCAGATAGCTGTGTGGGGAGAAGGTGCATCTTCACAAACACAAATTCTCTTTGAACAGATGCTGATGATGGTTATTAGCATTGCAATAGCAGCTAGGGCCTATGACTAGGTCAGGGACCCATTATGTAACCCCAGGTGCAAAGTGCAGCAGGTGAGCTATACACAGTAAAAACAATGCATATGGGACAGAGCCGCAGAGTCCAGATCTGAGCTATCCCAATGTTTGAGAGTGTCTGGATTTGGTGTTCCAGTCTGTGCCCACCATAAAGAGAGTCCTAAGGGGCAAAGTTCTCAGTCCAGATCCAAACTTATCCCAAGTCTGAGGGTGTGATCCAGTTTGGGCCCATCTCTAAACAGTGGGATGGTTTAAGGGGAACCATTATGCTATGCTGCCATAGCCTAGTATCTCTCTGCACTTTAGGCCATATAGGGAAAAACACATAAGGAATTAAAATGAGGTAGATTTTTTTCCCCTCTAACCATGTTATACCCAAGAACTAAAAGGATCTTAGATGCTGTACGCAGCTGGGTAGGGGAAAAGGAGGTTACCTTGCACAGCTGTCAGATTATTACTGGAATCATGCCTGACAGCTGCTGGAGTCCTGGGGGAGGACCAGCTCCCGCAGTAGAATCCAAAGCAACAGAGCTTCCAACAGAGCCATTGGTGGATGGTTTTGAAGGACTCATTGATGGAGTTAAAACAAAACAGAGTAAAGTACCCCACAGTGGAAAGCCAACCATCAGCTGATATGTAACGGCTCATAGAAAATCTCCCAAATTATGTTTGCTCTCATCTATTCTAATGGAGTTACTTTGGATTTACACTGATGTCACTGAGACTAGATTCTGGCCCACAAATGAGACAAACACAAACATCATGGATTGTGTATCTGAAGAAGTGGGTTTTTTACCCACAAAAGCTTATGCCCAAATAAATCTGTTAGGCTTTAAGGTGCCAGCAGACTCCTTATTGTTTTTACAAACATCAGGTATTCTTAAGTGGCCAGGGGTGATTATATTGTGTGTCTCCAAGCAGTGTTAATAAGGAGGCTGTATTCAGCACAGTGAGCATATACCCTAATTGTCTCAGAGGGCACGACCTTCATGCCCACAGCAGAGGGATTTACAGCTCCTAATTTTCTGGAGACACTAGATCAAGTGTTTCTATTGACTGTCACCATGGCCACTGCTAAATGTGTGTAGCTCCCCAGCACTGATGGTTGGGGGATCGTTTGTCCAGTCAGAATATGGACTGTCACTGATGCACCAGAATGTTGGGGTGAATATGGGAGAGGAACAGTTTAGTTCCAGCCGTGAAGTCCAGCAAAGCCAGAACTGCTCAGTAATGTGATGTTCCATGGGTCACAGTGCTATAGTGCTGAAAACCCAGTTACAGAACCCCTGCTTCAGGAGTATGGAAAGAGGGTTGGCCTTTTCATCACTCAGTAGGCCCTCTGTTGCTGGAAAGAGGATTGTGAGGCTTGAGGCAAAACCCACTGAAGTCAATGGCAGTCCTTCCGTTGAATCAATGTGCTTTGGTTCAGGACCCTAGAAGACAGGCTCTTCTGGTGTGTGGTTACATCATCTTCCTAGTGCAATGCCAAGTCACTGAAGCCCAAACTCCCCCCACAAGTTCAGTGGAGTAAAGCAGAGTTGGAATACTGAGGTGGAAAGTCTCTTCAAATGCAATGTCTGTAATGGGTAAAATATGAAGCAGTAGGACCACAGCAAATGAGCAACCCTAGGAAACTAGAGCTTGTCACAATAGATAAGGCTTTCAAAACTACTGTCGCATTGAATGGAAAGTTCCTCCATGTAGCAGCAGCTCCTTAGCCGTGAGATTTTGTAACATCTCTGAGTACATTATTTATATTGCCAACACAAATTTTAAATGTTCTAATAAGCAACCAGGCTAGATAAATCATTCTCTCACAGCACATTAGCTTCTTACGTTATAGGGGGAGCTAGTAGCGACTCCTATTTTGGGTTGCCTAGCACTTCCCCATATAAAAGATTCTTGTGAAATGTTTTAGAGACACTCTTATTCCTCCATTGCTTGACACAAACCTTTGAAATAAGGAAAGGAGAAGTGCCTTTTCTTTGTCCCATGAAATTCTATTTAGATTTGAAGATCTAAACTGTGGAAAATCATTATTTTCCTTCTCTCACTTGTGTTTCTCAGGAAAACTTTGACACCAAAATATTAACAGGACATGAATGTTCTAAGACCAGATCCATGCTGTCACCAAAACAGAAGACATTGTACTGGGAACACCTAGGAGCTACCAAATATCTGTAACAGGAGAGGAGGGAGGAAGAGGGAGAGATTGCTGAGGTGGGTTCCCCCCAACCACCCCTTCAGACCCAGCATACGGCCCCAGCAGCCCATCCCCCTTCCTCTAGATGCCATACAGAGCAAAAGCTCCTTCAACTCCTGGTTTGAAGTGGGGAGAGAGGGAGACACACACACACTCAGAGGCCAGGGTACCCTGAAAGCATCTGGCCCCTGCAGTCCTTTCCACCTCTGGAATAACAGCCTTGTCTTCCTGTAGATTAAGTAGTAGACATCTGTGCTGAAAAGTCAGGGTTCAAGCCCAGCCCTGTTTGTGATGTATGATGGAGAAGTGGTTACAAATGCACATAAGAGAACTTGTTTTTAACTTTTCCTTTTTTAAAAAAATCTAGCAAATTGCATTTAAAACCCCTATATTAACTGAACATTACTTAGGTTACAAGATTTAAGGTTGCCTGTGCAATCTTAATTTGGCCCCCTTGTGTGTATGCATTACCATATACTCTTTAATTACACAATCATTATTTTCCCCAGGGCCCCTGCCTCCTTCAGTGCACAGGATAGGTGCACAAAAGGGCACAATTAAGTTTCCAATGCAACTGTAAAACTAGTATTTCCTAATTTTTGAGTGCTTGATGTTGCAACCTAAATAATCATTTAATGAAGTTTTATAGTTATATAAACTTCATCTTAATACTAGTTTTGGAATTTTTCAAACACTTTTGGCCAGATTCTGATCTCAGTTACTCTGGTATATAGCTGGAATTTGTAATTTTAAGGATAACCCTCCAGCCACAGAGAGGCAGTATTATGTCACATTGTTAATAGTTCATCCTTTACATCTTCTAGACCAGCATTATTCTAAATGGGTTCTGTATAGGGTGCCACTTTTGAGATACAAAAAAAGGGACATCTGGGATGATCCTGGGCCCATAAAACTGGACAGCTGAGCACCCTTACAGATTGCCAGGTCAGCTACCTTAAAATGGGACAAATTCTGGGAAAATCTGGACAGGTGGTAACCCTAGTTATGTAACAAAGCATGGAGTGACCCTTTAAGTGCCCTTGTTGACCTACTACTGCCCTGATCCTGGTTCAGCCCCAAACAAGTGCAGTCTGGGGCAGTAGTTTGCAGGGACTAATGGGAGACGTAGTCAGGGACCAGGTGACTGTAGGGCAGGACAGCAAGGCATGCTGGGAAGGAATGGCAGGGCATGTAAGAAGCAGCCTTGCTGTAGAACAGAAGGCTAGGAATTAGGTAAGGAGGAGGTGATTCCTCCCTTCCCTCTCAGAACTGAGACAGTCTAAACACAGGCAAGATATAGAAGGACCATGGGGAAGGATGAAGCAAGTACCTGGTGGTAAAGGGGTATACAGGGGATGAGATGTAAACTGAAAGCTAGAATCCCATTTTGGGTACATGACTATGATGTTCAGTCTCCCTTCATTCATTACCAACAGAGATCAGTGCAGGAGAGATTGTTTTGCCTAAGGAGGACGCGTTCCTATTGGTATTAATCAACCCTATGTCTACACAGGTGAAGGCTATGACCTGGCGTTGGCCAAGAATATGTCAGGTGTTTGGATTTCTGTTCCTTCCAAAAAGAGAGACCTCACTGTTGGCTAGAGGGCTGCACCACATCAAATCATCCAGCTACCCAAGAGTGAGGGAAACTGAGCCATCTGTCATGGCTGTGTCCTGATGCTGGTAAGGTAAGAACCTGCTACTGCTGACTGTATACACATTAGTTTAAATGTCTGTCATGAGTTTAAATAAGCTTCTATTGTCTTCACTATTCTTTCAAATGCTGTTTTTCTGGGATTTATAAACTCAATTGCCAACTTTACTCTGGGCTGAAACTTACTATGTAAAACGTAAAAAATTGCAGAGGAATTGCATTTACATGTGCTGAATTATATAACTGCTTACTAGGAAATCTGTTTATAAAAATTTAATATCCCAAATATTCCAGTTAGTAACATTTTAGCACAACATTCTGTACAAGCCAACAAAAGCTGGGGCACTTTCCCCACTCTCCCTTCAGAGTGGCCTGTTTTAATCAAGTAGAATATTCTGTTGTCTTCGCAAAGTTAAACTGTTTTTATTGGCCCTTGGCCTCCCTCACGTCCCTGCCCTCCTGGGATAATTGTTTTCATTTCCAGTTTGTGTCTGTCTGTGTCTATAAATGTTTAAGTGGTTGGCAGCTTTTTTGTGGTGGGTGTTGTTGCCAGTCCAGGTCATGGCTTGTG